GGGACACTCACATGTGTCCAAGGCTCGCAGTCACATGCCAGACCCCAGTAACTCCTCGGATATTGTAACCCTCACCCCTACCCTAGGAATCCTTCTCTATTTCCTGCAGTTCTTCTCAAGCATCCCACTCTGGCCTTCTGTTTCTTGGCACCTCTCGTGTTTCTCCACCCGCCACCTCACTTAGCAGCTGGAATTCTTTTTTTTCATTATTTTATTTTATCATTATACTTTAAGTGAAAGTTTACAACTCAAGTTAGTCTCTCATACAAAAATTTATACATACTTTGTTATGTGACCCTAATTGCTCTCCCTATACTGTGACAGGACACTCCTCCTTTCTACCCTTGATTTTCTTTGCCCATTCAACCAGCTCCTGACCCTCTCTGCCTTCTCATCTCACCTCTGTACAGGAGCTGCCCATTTAGTCTCTCATGTATCTACTTGAGCTAAGAAGCACACTCTTCACGAGTATCATTTTATGTCCCATAGTCCAGTCTAATCTTTGTCTGAATAGTTGGCTTCGGCAGTGGTTTTAGCTCTGGGTTGACAGAGAGTCCAGTGGCCATGCTTTCTGGGATTCCTCCAGTCTCAGTCAGACCATTAAGTCTGGTCTTCTTACTAGAATTTGAGTTCTACACCTCACTTTTCTCATGCTCCATCAGGGACTCTCTGTTGTATTCCCTGTCACGGTGGTCATTGGTGGTAGCTGGGCACCATCTAGTTGTTTTGGTCTCAAAGCAGCTGGAATTCTTTTTTTTTTTATTTTTTATTGTACTTCAGGTGAAGGCTTACAGAACAAATAGTTTCTCATAAAACAGTAGTACATATGTTGTTTTATGACATTGGTTAACAACCCTACAACATATCAACCCTCTAACTTCTCAATTCTTTTTTTTTTTTTTTTGGTGAAAATACACATAGCCAAAGATACACCATTTCAAAAATTTCTACATGCACAGTTCAGTGACATTGACTACTCTCTTCCAATTGTGCTGTTATTCTCACTTAAGATGAAGGCTTACAGAACAGAATAGTTTCTCATTTAACAGTTACTACAAATGTTGCCCTATGACACTGGTTAACAATCTCACAACACATCAACAATATCCTTACTCAACCTTGGGTTCCCTATCACCAGCTTCCTTGTCCCCTTCTGCCTTCTGGCCCTTGTCACTGGACTCCCGTACCTCGTTAGTCTCATTTGGTTTTACGGGGCTGTCCACTCCCAGGCTGAACAGTGAACCTCGGAGGTAACTTCACCACTGAGCTAAAAGGATATCTGGGGGCCATACTCTGGGGGTTTCTCCAGTCTCCTTTAGGCCAGTAAATCTGGTCTTTTTTTTGTGAGTTAGAATTATGTTCTACATCCTTCTCCAGCTCTGTCCAGAACCCTCTGTTGTGATCCTGGTCAGAGCAATCAGTGGTGGTAGCCGGGCACCATCTAGCTGTACTGGACTCAGTCCGGTGGAGGCCTTGGTAGCTGTGGACAATCAGTCCTTCAGACTAATCTTTTCCTTGTATCCTGTTCTCTTCATTCTCCCTTGGCCGCTCACAGGCTTTTAAGACCCCAGACACTACTCACCAAAGTAGAATGTAGAGCATTGTCTTTATAAGCTGTGTTATGCCAATTGAGCTAGATGTTCCCCGAGACCATGGTCCCCACAGCCCTCCGCCCAGCAGCTGGAATTCTTAATAATAGTAATCATAATAGCCAACATTCACTGAGGCTGTTTATGTGCCAGGCATGGAAATGTTACATAAGTTGTCTAAGATCACATAAATATTAAGGTATAGATTAGCATGTCCAATAGAAATACAATTTGAGCCACATTTGTAATTTAAAATTTTCTACTTAGCCGAATTAAAAAGGTAAAAAGAAAAAAAAAGATGAAATTAATTTTATTAATATCTTTTAACTCAGTATATCCAAAACATTCAACACGTCATCAATACATAAAATTATTAAGGATATATTATTTTACATTCTATTTTCCTACTGCGTCTTTGAAATCTGGTGTGTATTTTACACTTACAGTACATCTCAATTCAGACTAGCCACATTTCAAGTCCTCAACAGCCACATCTGGCTAGTGGCTACTGTATTGGACAGCAGAAGTATAGCCCCAGAATCTAACCCATCTCCATCTGGCCATGCTGGCAGCCTTTCTAAGGATGGTCAGGGGTAGGGCAGCCACATTCTTTGTGAAATCAGCTGGTATACACCCTGTTTACAGGGCTGATTGTCCTGTCTGCCAAAATTCAGGTCTGAACCTTGAACCAAAACTATCCCCTGAGGTCACCTTTTAATGAAATAACAGATCGGCACACAAAATAAAGGATATTATCTGTGAGTACACTTCTCCATTAAAAAACTATACATATGAGACCAAAAGGTCAACAATTACTCTAAAGCAAAGATGAGAAGATAAGGGGGCAGGGAAACTAGAATACTGGAAACGGAACAACCCAAAAGTAGTTAAAGAGAATGTTGACATATTGTGAAAAATGTAACTAAGGTCACTGAACAATTTGTATAGAAATTGTCGAGTGGGAACCTAATTTGCTGTGTAAACTTTCACCAAAAACACAATAAAATATTATTTTAAAAAATTCAGGTCTGCATAAGCTAATAATCTAATTGAGGTTAAAATCTTATTATAAATTGGAAGAAAAATGTCTCAAAGTGCTACAAAAAAAATCCCCTTGCCATCGAGTCAGTTCCAACTCACGGCAACCCTATGTGTGCAGAGCAGAACTGTACTCCATAGGGTTTTCAAGGCTGTGACTTTTTGGAAGTAGCTCACCAGGACTTTCTTCCAAGGTGCCTCTGGGTGGGTTTAAACCACCAACCTTTCAATTAGCACCACCCAGGAACTCAAAGTGCTACCAAACCCATTGAGGTGGAGTTGGTAGTGACTCACAGAGTAAAACTGCTCTGTAGGGTTTCTAAGGAGTGGCTGGTGGATTCGAACTTCTAACCTTTTGGTTAGCAGCCACAGCTCTTAATCACTGTGCCACCAGGGCTCTCCAAAGTGATACAGGAGTCCAAAATTTATTAAAGCCCTTAAAAAAAAAAGTATTTGTTGGAGGAGCTCACATTTCCACCTTGGAACTGTCATCTCTTCTGGGGTGGGTTAGGGAATGTTTGTTCCCGTCTGCGTGTCTCTGTTACTCTTCTTGTGTCTTCATAAAAGCTATCTGGGAGGGGTGGGTTTTCCCTGGCCTGAAGCCAGATCGATGGAAGAATCCTTCACCCTGCGGGCCCTCTCTGGCCCATAGGGCAGTCCTCTGACCAGGCTCACCAGCCCCCATGGTGGCACCTGAAGGGAAATGCAGGACTGCTGAACTTTGGAAGGAAGGAGGGTGGGTGAGCCATCATTCCCTGGTACCTGCAGGCACCTTACAGGCCCTGTGCTAGGTGCTTTGCATGCACCATCTCTTTACCCCTCAACATCACTCTCTGGGGTCAGTTCTTAGTTGTCATTGAGCCGATCTCAACTCATAGTGACCCCATGTGACAGAGGAGAACTGCCCCATAGGGTTTTCTAGGCTGTAATCTTTACCAGGAGCCCCGGTAGCACAGTGGTTAAGAGCTTGACTGCTAACCAAGAGGTTGGCAGTTCAAATCCACCAGCTGCTCCTTGGAGATCCAGTGGGGCAGTTCTACTCTGTGACTATGAGTTGGAATCGACTTGATGGCAAGGGATATATATAATCTTTACCAAGGAACCCTGGTGGCAAAATGGTTAAGAGATCTGCTGTGATTTAGGAAATAATATTGGAGTTATTATCCCCTGTCCTTGAGCACAGAGAATGTGACCCATGTGGAGCTGGGCTTACAACTGCTCACAAGGACTCACAAGGACACATCAGCTGGGCCCTGAGATATAAAGACAATAGCTAGATAATCTTGGAAAATATCTTTTAGGGAGCCTTTCACATAAAGCCAGTCAAACAGAACACAAAGAACTTTTCACTCTTATCTTTTTCTATTAGCTTTTAGTGAATGGAGGTTTGTTGAACCAATGAAGATACTCCTGACTGTCATTATTGAAACCTGTACCAATGATTGTTAAGAAAGACAATTCAAAATGTAGGATCACAGTTGCTAGCCTATCTGTGAAAAGGCGAAGCTTTCAATGGTTACGCTCATTTTGTAATGTTAATATATACTGATGGCTCTGTAACATTCTTTGGACAAAGCTGTGGCAGCACGCTTGTCGGTTTTCCCACTCTTGCCTATTCTATAATATTCTTAGGACTTGGACAGACATGGCTTAGCAGCATGCTTGTCCGTTTTCCCACTTTTGTCTGTTCTGTGCTATTTCCTTGGACTCAGACAGACATGGTTCTGGCAGCATGGTTGTCTGTTTCCTACTTTTGCTCCTTTGAATATATGCCGAATAAAACTTTCATTTTGCTTTACTAAACTTTGTGATGTTTCTCCCCTACACCACCTGCTAACCAGAAGGTTGGCAGTTTGAATCTACCAGCTGCTTCTTGGAAACCCTTTTGGTTAGCAGCCGAGCTCTTAACCACTACACTGAGAAGAGGTTCAGGGTCATGCAGCTAGTAAATTGACACAGCTGGGATTTAAACCTTTCTGACGTCAAAGCCCTGGATCACAGCATTCCAGACTTTGGGGAAGTTAGTGCTTTCGGCCCACCCACGGACCTGGGAAAAAGGGTTTTCCAGCAAGGAATTTCTGTATCTGAGTTCTCTTCCTAAGTAAAGCAGGCCTGGCAGGTGCTTGGTTGATTTCTGTCTCTAGGAACTGGAGTCAGGTATTCAGAGCATAAAAAGCAGACGGCTGCCCTTTCTAGGTCAGGAGGCCCAACCTCAGGAAACTTAAGAGGGCTGCTCTACCGTTCTTTTCTCCTTCCTGACGAGTTAGAAGACCTTTGCTGCCGGGAGCCCTTTTGCTTTAAGTCCAAACGCTGGCTTGAGAGGAACCTGCGAGGGCGTTGGAGGGCGCCCGCCTACCTGCGAGGACCTGCGTTAGGTGTGGCTGGAGCGGCTTGGGATGCGAGGTGGGCGGGGGCGGGCTGAAAGTTAGAGTAAGCAGGAAGTGAACCGAGGGCTGTCCCGGGAGGAAACACACTAGGCGAGTTCAGCTGCCGACAGGCCGTACCACTCGGGAGACATGGTGAGCGAACGGGGGCGAGGAAGGGGCTGACTTAACCAGGACCAGAGGAGCTCGGGCCGGGGGTTGTCTGTGCTGGAAGTTGGTAGCAAAGTCCGAGGGCTGGGCCAGCGCTGCCTGTGGCCTGTCTTCTTTGACAGCTTGGCTGCAAATGGCTCGGAGCCGCCCCGGCGCCTGTTCCACTCCTTCCCCCCTCCCTCCCTCCCCGGACCTCCGTGCTGGCCGGAGCAGTGCGGGTGGGGGTCCTAATTCCGGGGCTAGAGCTGACGGCAGCCCTCGTCTCCTCTTCCATCCGGGCCGGGGGTCGTGGCCCTCCCTACGGGGTAGCGCCTCTGCTATTTCCAGCTTAAATTCCAGCCAGCGGCAGGCTCTCTCCCCCTCGCCTTTCACTTTATCCCTATACGGAAACCCCAAGGATTTGTCTGCCTGTCCACCAAGTCTAAAGAATTGGCCCCCCTCCATAAACAGGAGAGCTAAGGCTTTGTAAAAGAATCAGAGTTGGTTCTCTGTGGTCTGGTTTTGGTCCATACCTCTGGCCTGTTTCAGGAGCCTCCTGGGCTAGCAGGGAGGAGTTTAATAATGCTTTTTCCCTCCCTGTTCGAAAACCTTATCGTGAAACGCGGGAGGAGGCATCAGCCAGGGAGGGCTTGTCCTCCATTTCCCCCAACACCAGGCCTGGTGTTTTAGTTTAATATCTGCATGAGCAGGCAGGAGCTTGGGGCCTGGGAATAGTGCTAAGTGGTGGGGAAAGCAGAAGTTTGTGGCTCAACGGCTTGTGGTGGTCCCTCGTGAGGGACTTGGAGCCAGGTGGCTGAGTGCTGTGGGTCCCAGCAATGGAACAACGGCTAGGCTGCGGTGGTGGAGAGAGGGCTGGGCTGAGCAGCCACTTTTAATGAGGGCCCTGTGGGACCAGTGAAAGCCATGATGGCTCTGAGAACTTGTAAACAATGGGGGGCTCTCCCCTGGAGGGGAAGGGACACCACAGGATGCCAGCTCTGCTGTCTTCTACACCTCTCTCTCAGGAGCCAGGAGCAGCGAGACGGATTTACTGGTGTGTTGCTTTTCCTTGTCAGGAGCCCTGAGAACCCGAACATGAATTTGCTCTGGTCTGTCTAGGTCTCACCTTCTGGGGCTTAAAAATAGTTATTTTTGATTACACAAGTAATACACAAAAACATTCTCTTTGCAAAAATTCAGGCATTACAGGAAGCTAAAGGCCACCTTCCCCTCTTCTGGCCTCTGAGAGAGGCTTTCAGTTCTTCCACCACGGGGCCTCATTAACCTTGTGTTGCTGTCCAGGAGGATGCCAGTGGAGGCAGAGGAGATGACCGGGTGCGGGACCTGCAGAGCGAGGTGGAGGGAGTCAAGAATATTATGACCCAGAATGTGGAGAGGATCCTGGCCCGAGGAGAAAACCTGGACCATCTCCGCAACAAGACAGAGGACCTGGAAGCCACAGTGAGATGGGGAGCCTGCTGAGGCTGGAGGGAAAGAGGGAGGGTTGTGTGTTGGGGGCAAGGCAAGTATTTATTTGTGGGGCAAAAAAACAGGAGAGACAGAGGTTCGCCATTTGCCATTTCTATTCTCCTTTCACGTGTTTTGGGAGTTGGTTTGAGCTGAGTCCCTAGTCTGATTCTCCTCTTCTACACTGAGTCGTACTGGGGCCCAGGGAATGGGATCAACAGCCAGGGCTTGGGGGGCTGACCCATGAGGCATTCCTGAGACAGATGGATGGCTCCGTCAGCCCATGCGTTCTTAGGCTTCCCTCTTATAAAACCGGTTTTCCCTTTGAAGGCTGCCCTTGACAATCATTTAGACCTGGTCTCTCCGGGGCAAAACTACTGGGTCTGGGGAAATCTTCCCAGGGCCTTCGGCCTTCTCCAGGAGTTAGTAGGCAGGGGTTGGAAACTGCTGGAGTCTTGCTGAGTCAGCTTTACAGAGGAGCTGGAAGAGGAGTGAAGTTCTTTGAACCTGGGGTCCTCTGCCAGCTGAAGGCTAGAATAAATATCTCCCACACATCTTGCTAGGCCTCCTTCTTCTCTTTCTCCATCCAGGGGTGGAGCCCAGATGCTCAGAGAGGGAGTATCTCCAAGTTCAGCAAAGGCTCAGGTTCCATGTTCAGCTGGGAGAGACTGGCTCTGGGTTTCTGAGTCCTGTGGTTAATCCTGAGTATAGCTCCTTTGAGTCCCTGGGACTTCATTTTTCTTTCGGCCACCTAATCTGGGGAGGATGGCCCAGGGAAACTTAGTTTCTGCAATTGAAGTTGGGGGAGTAGGCAGGGTTTTCCTCACTCCCAACACCAATACAAGCCCCACTTCCCGTACTGCCCTAGGCCCCTCCTCCGACTTCAGAAGCCCCCACGGGTAAAGGAGTCATGGAGCCAGGGCCGTGTGCCCACCGAGAGCCTGCGCTGCTCCCTCAGGGGCTGCCTTCCCAAGGGTGGATTGTGCTGCCAGCATTGTACCCCGGGATGGAGCATGTGTATACAAGGCCCCTCGGTGTGTATGTCATGCCAAGGGTAGAAGAGAAGGGGGCAGGCTGGGAGCCAGGGTCCCCACCACGTTTAGGTGGAGAACTCCCTGGAGTCTAAGAATTCTAAATTTGAACCTGGCCTGCAAGGTTATTATGAGGGTATACTTGTCAAGGTAGGAGGCTAGAACATTTCTTTCACAGTTTGTTATCTCAGCTTCTAGCTTAAATATTTAGATGTATGGCATGTGGGCCTCCACCCCGCGTGGAAGGAGGCCCTGGGTCACTCACTCTCTCTCATCTCAACAGTCTGAGCACTTCAAGACAACATCACAGAAAGTGGCTCGGAAGTTCTGGTGGAAGAATGTGAAGATGATTGTCCTCATCTGCGCGATTGTCTTCATCATCATCCTCTTCATCGTGCTCTTTGCCACTGGTGTCATTCCTGTTTAGAGAGCCCCTCCCGCACTGCCTCCTCTCCTGGGCCAACCCTCTGTAGCTGATGCCAAGAGGGGCCCTGTCTCCCGCCCACCTCCACAGAGAGTGCTGCTGGGTCCAGTCCTCCGGCTCCTTGCCTGAGGACCCTCTACACATTGCCTGCCCCAGGGAGCACCTTGGTCCCTTGGAAGGAGAGAGCTGGACTGTGGTTGCGTTTCACGGGTCCTCAGAGTGGGCTGGAGAGACCCAGAGGGCCCAGTATGTGGCTAGGAAACTGTTGGTGGCCTGTGGGTAATAAAGACCTTTCAGTATCCCTGTGTGTGTGTGTGTCTGTGTCTGTGTCTGTGTATGTCTCTGTCACTTTCTCCTTTCCATTTTGCCTTTGGCCCCTTTATCTCTTTTCTTTCTGAGGACACTCTCTGGCTGAGGTCCTCTCACTTGAGACCCAGGTTGTTGGAGAGGTAGAGAGCTTATGTTTGAAGGAGAGAGATAGACCCACCCTGTATTTCTCTATTCCTTCTTGGTCCTAACCCATTCATTGTCCCAGGTCTCAAGAATAAGAGTTTTCTGGGGGTCTTGGCATATGGCGAAACCTTCACAGCATTTGGCATATAAGACTCCTAAGTATCCCCCTTGGATTCTGCCATGTCCCTTTATTCCTCTTCTGCTGAAGTGTTAGCCACACATAAAGCCTCCCTGAGAGAGCATTTAGGAATCCAGCGTAGGCCTCGCACCTCTCCTATCAGTGAGCCTGTTGCAGTCTAGAACTGGGGGTCAGAGGAGATGGACAGCTTTTCCTTTTCTTGGGGTTCTGTAAGCTCTATATGTCTGCTGCCTGCCCTGCCCTTCTGGGACTTAGCAGAGCCTCTGGGTCTCAGCTGTCCTAAGGGGGCGAGTGTCTCTCCCCCACGTCCCATGGCTGGGCACAGTCAGTGTCACAGGACAGGGCCTATGGCCCTCCTTCCGGTCCACGCACAATGGGCCTCTGTCTTCAGGCCTCCCTCCTCCCCACCGGGTTCCACTGTCATTGCCACTCTTTCCAGGCCCAGTCTGCTTTGATTGGGGCAGGGGGGTCTTGCCATCTGTGCCCCTATTCCCCTTCTTCCCCCATGGGTTTTCCGGAATTGAAAACAACCTATTTTGCAGAGGGACTGGGGAAGGGGCAGGATTTGGGACTCGTATTGGTAAATCAGGTTCTGGAATCATGTTCTATAATCCAGGGAGAGAGGAAAAAAGCACAGAAGAGACCCTGGGGCAGTCTTTGCCATGACCATGTACGTCTCTCTCTCCTCAGTCCACTCCTGGATTTGAGGTCCAAAGAACTGAGGTGAACCCTAGACGTTGAGACCCAGGGAGTCCTGCGGATGGGGAGGGTGAAACCCTCTTGGTGTAGGGCTTGTGTTCACAAGATCAGCCCCAAAGGGGAACCCCTCAATCCCCTTAAGAGGGGCCCTCATTCAAGATATTGGAGGTAGTGTGGGGGCAGGTGGCTGCTGATTTCTCTGCAGCAGAGTGGAGGATGGGTGCGCTCAGTTCAGGAAGACTCTAGGGTGGCAGTAGACACACCAGCCTCACCTCATCCTCCAATGGAGGAGTAAAATCCTACCACAGCAGGGCCGCACTTGCCCTCTGGTGAGGAAGGGAACACAGGTAAGCTAGAGCTAACACCTTCCTTGTAGGGGTCTGTTGCCCTCAGGTCATTCAGACTCATGGAGACCCCATGTGTAACAGTGTAGAACTGCTCCACTGGGTTTTCTAGGCTGTACTCTTTACAGAAGCAGATCCTCAGGCCTTTTTTCCGCAGTGCTGTAGGTGGGATCCAACCGCCAACCTGTAGGTTAGTAGAGGAGTGCAAACCATTTGTGCCACCCAGGGACCTCACCTTCCCCATCGGGGTCCGTTTTGCGATGCACTCGCCAAAGCCCCACCCCCCCGCCTCGGCTTGTTCATGGCTGTCTCCAGCACCTAGCACAGTGCCTGGCGGTAGCGCTCATACAGGTGCCTGCTGAATGAATGAATGACGCCTCCCCAGCTCACCCCATCTACCCAATCTCGTAAGCGGGGAGGGCTCCCCGAGCCGGTTCCCGGTTCCCGAGCCTGTTTCATGGACTGGGACACTGAGGTGTGGCCAGCGTGCAGACCTGGCATCAGGCTACTCAGGCGCAGCCCCCAACCCGAGAGACTGGGGCAGAAACCGGAACTGGGTGCCCCGGCCCAGGAGGAGGCGCCCCACGCACCCCGGTCGTCATCGCCAGCCGCTTTCGATTTGATTTCTTGTCAGTTGCCACTGACTGCAAGGAAGGCGCGCCCCCCGCCCCCACAGGGCCAGCCCGCCCCGCCCCGCCCCTCTGCTTCCTCTCCAGTCGCTGGCATCACGGCCGCTCGGCGGGCAGAGGAGCCAGGAGAGGGCGAGGCGGCGGCGGCGGAGATGGTGAGGGGCCGGGCGCGGGCAGAAGGCAAGCAGGGGGGCAGTGGGAGGTAGAAGTCCGAAGTCCGTGGCGAGAGCATCCTCTGGGAACTGCAGGGCTCCGACTGGGCAAGGTGACCACAGCCGGGGGCGCGGGACGGGGCAGACCCTCCACTTTCACGCGAAGCCGGGGAGGGAGACTGGCGTGCGCCCCGACGAGGCTGCAGCGCGTGGGGAACGGGACTCAGGCTTCCCACTTCCCTGCAGCGAAGCGTTTACGAGCACCGGCTTTGGAATCGGGCTTAGGATTGGGATCCCAGTGGTGGCCACTTACCAGCTCTGTGACCCCGGGAAGTCACTTAACCTCCCCGAGCCTCCTTTTCCGCATTTGTGAAGTGGGGTCAGCAATAGGTGCCTTGCAGATTCTTGCGAGGTTAAGTGGGTTATAATGGCAGAGCCGCACCGAGCACGCAGAACCCTCTCTTAAGGGCATAGGTAATGAGATGACCTCTTCAGCCCTCCCAGAGCTGTGAGGAGCCAGGCCTGGCCCAGGAATTGGAAACCTGAGAGATGAGGAGGTGGAGGCTGTGCCTGCCCAGTCCCTGGCAGGGTGTTGGAGGGCAAACTCCTTCCCCAGGGGAAAGAGAAAGGAAGACATTTGCCGGAAAGCTCCACTGAAGTTATCAGAGCGGGACACAGGCCTGACTCCTTTCTAACCCCTACCTAGTGACACATGCCACAGTGAGTCAGTCCTGCTCCTACTGCAGACTGTGTCCCCACTTGCCATCTCTGAGGCAAAGGTTTCAGGAACAGCTGGTGCCAGCTGCCTGCCCACCCCACGGCTCAGGGCTCGTGGGGAGCCGAGCTGGGCAGGAAGCTGGCTTGGTGCGTTAAGATTGTGCCTTGGAGAAACTGGCAGAGGTGCGATGGATGTGGCCCGGCCAGGGGTCGTGAAGCCTGGATGGCCTCATCTCCAGGGAACTGGAGGCAGGAAGAGGAAGTGGGGCAGGAAGGTAGTGCTGAGCGCGGAGCCCACGCCAGGAAACTGGGGAGGGTCTGATAGTGGACAGAGCCCAGGCCCACTTCCCAGTGTGCAGCACAAGAAACTGGGCAGGGCCGGGCATGGGCTTCTCGCTGGCCCTTAGCACTTGGGGACGAGAAAGAGGAATCTCCTGAAGTGAAGGCTGAGGCCAGAGTAATTTTTTTTGGGGGGGGGTGGGAGGGGGCAGGTATTGGAAAACCCTGAGACCTCAAGCCCTGCAGGCCCCTGGCAGGTCTCAGAAATGCCTCTGTCACCCACCCTGCCTCTCCACCTCTCTGCTCCCCTTGGCCTGCCTGCCATCTCCTCACACCCTTACTGATAACACTTCTCTGCCCCTCTGGCCTGCCTCCACCCTGCGTTTTCTCACTTCTATCCGTGCCAGTCTACCACCAATAGAAACATTTTCCGGAAGCACTTCTCCAGTGTCTTCTTGGCTTCACAACCAGCTCTAGCACTTGTTCTAGCACCCCCTCCAAGCTAGACTCCTCTTCTTGACTTCGCTTTCTATGGCCCCACCCTGCCCACACCCTGGCCTTCTGCCTGGTCCAGCACTGTCCTTTGTGCCCCTGTCTCTCTATACCGGCAATCCCCCTGCTTCATCACAGCTTCCCAGAGGTCTCCTCACCCTGTCAGCCCCAATTCTCAGGAACCAGCCTCCCTGTGGGCTGCTGCAGCGCTTGCTGTTTGTGTCTTCCATGTAACTCTTTGCTCCTGTCTAATTACATCGCCCTGTCTCTTTTCCTCAACCAGATCAAAAAACAAAAACAAACCAGCTGTTAAACTGAGCGGATTCCAACTCATAGGGTCCCCTTGTACGTCAGAGTCGAACGGTGCTCGATAGCGTTTTCAACAGCTGACTTTTTGGAAGTAGATTGCCAGGCCTTTCTTCCAAGATGCCTCTGGGTGGACTCAAACCGCCAGCCTTTTGGTTAGCAGCTGAGAGCTTTAACCATTGCACCACCCAGAGACTTCTTAAAAACAGACACCATTCATTCAGAAAATATTTATCATTGTTTACTCTGAGCCAAAAGAGCCCTAGTGGCACAACAGTTAAGCACTCGGCTGCTAACTGAAACGTTAGCTGTTCGAACCCACCCAGTGGCTCCACAGAAGAAAGAACTGGCAATCTGCTCCAGTAACGACTACAGCCTAGAAAACCCTATGGGGCAGTTCTCCTCTGTCACATGGGGTCGCTATGGGTTGAAATTGACTGATGGGGCACCTAACAAGGACAACACTCTGTGCCAGGCCGTATGCTGAGTTTCAGTGTGGCATAAGACAGACACGGTTCTTGCTCTCTGGGAACTTACAACCTTCCACATTTCATAGTTCTTTAGGTCAGCAGTCGAGCACAAACCGTGTGCCACCTAAACAAAAAAAACCAAATCCGCTGCCATCAAATCAATTCCAACTATAGCGACCATAGAGGACAGAGGAGAACTGCTCTACAGGGTTTCTAAGGAACAGCTGGTGAACTCAAACTGTCGACCTTTTGGTTAGCAGCTGAGCTCTTAACCACTGTGCCACCGGGGCTCTGTGCACGACCTAGGGACCTTATTTTCCACTGTGTTAGCAAAGGCCTGTGCACATTGTGGAAACCCTGGTGACATACTGGTCAAGAGCTACATCCGCTAACCAAAAGGTTGGCTGTTTGAATCTGCCAGCTGCTCCTTGGAAACCCAATGGAGCACTTCTACTCTGTCCCATAGGGTCGCTATGAGTCGGAACCAACTCGACGGCAACGGGTTTGTTTCTCTGGTGCACATAGTGTCCTTTCTTCTGTGGCTCAATGGGGCCCAAGAGGGCCCAAGCCTTGGATCTGAGGCCTCTGTGTTCCCTGGGGTGAATGTGTTCTTAGGCCTGGGCCCAACCTTGGCTCCAGGCAGGTATGGCTTCACCCAGTAGGGGGAGTAGGCTGAAGGGCTGCAGCTGTAGGCACAGCCAGCTCTCCCGGAGAATGTGACCCCTTGTTGGAGAATAAGATAACAGCTATTCCTTTAAGAGTACACAAAAATAATATCCAGCATCCCACCAATCTTTAACAGTGATTCTCTTTTTCTAACCTTTGTCCATTGCTAAGTTTTTGTTTGGACTGTTGGAGTGTGGGGAAGTTCAAAGGCACAAATAATGGAACCTTGTTGAGTAATGCAGCCGTCATAAAAGTGATGATGGTTTACTTAGGAAAAGGTAGAGAAGAACGCGGCTTCGCTGCTCTCTTGATCGTTCCTCCTTGTTCCCCAGTTATGCCCCCTACCCCAGCCTGTGAGCGCACTCTCCTGAAGTGGTTTGCCTGCCCCATCTCTGAGCAGAAATCTCATGGATAAATATTGACATATTTGGGTTACAGATGCCTGGCCCTCCAAACTCCTGCTGGGCTACATTAACACACTGGGATAACATTTCTTGAGAACAAGAGCTGCTTTGGGATAAACTATGATGCAGTTGACCCATTCACTGAGATCTTGCAAAGGTCAGCATTGTGCTGGCCTCCAAGGACCTTGGGATGGTGGAGGATGAAGGTAGGGGCCTGGTCCCTGCTCTCCCTCTGGGAGCTTCTAATCTATTTGAGGAGAGAGGACTCATATACTGGGAATGCTTGGAGGCTGTGTGCAAGGCAGCTGCAAAGATCCCCAAAGAGGATTTCTGCCCAGGTGGGAGGTAGTCTCTGTGACTGCCAGATCCCTTCCAACACTTAAGTTCTCTTGTTTTAAGTGGAATTCAGTCAAGTGACAAAATGTCTGCTTCAGACAATGAGGGATGTGGGCCGGCAGGAAAGGGATCTTGGCTGATGTTCTGTGGGGAGGATATGGGAACAGGGATGGGCTGTGGGGGACTGGTAGGCCTAGGCTGGGAGGAGGGAGTTGCTGTGGTTTGTTTATCTGCTGGTGTTCATCTCACTGAAATGTCCCTGGACCTGCTCCTGGACCTCCAGCTCTCACCAGTGCCTCTTTCCCTGGGTGTCTCTCAGTTATGCAGCCAAAAAGCCCAGTTCCTTTCTTGCTCTTGACCCATCCTCTCTCCCTCTCTCCTATCCTCCAAGCCTCTCAAGCTTGGACCCTGCACTTCTCTTCCCTGTCCTCTGAAATGAGCTGGCTTGTTTTGTCAAGTGAGGCTGCTGCCCAGGCTGGGAAATCCAAGGGCTGGTCTCTTCTCTGTGAGTTGGACCCCAGTGAAAACTGGAATGCTGGAGGCCAGAGGCCAAGAAGACAGAAGTTCCCAGGCAGAGGGAATGAACCACAGGCACTAATGTGGGGAGCAGGGTCAGGCAGGAGGCAGAACTGGCCTGATGAGTCAGAGGCCCAAGGAGAGAGAGCTGAGCAGCTCACTTTGGGGGTGGGGGCTGGTAAGCAGAGACTATGACGATGCTGGTCCAAAATCACCTTTTCTACCCTGTGGGATGGATCGCCTACGTGTCTGGCTTCCAGCCAAGAAGCTTGGTTTCCTGCTCTTTGCTGCCTCCTTAGGCCAGTGGGAAGCCACAGAGCAGGTGTGCATTGGGCAGGGATCATCCTGGAGGAGGTGGTGTCTGCTTTGTGGGAGGGTAGAGTCCTAGGAAGGTCCCACCCTGAGATGCTGGGAGTCAGGACTAAGCTGCGACCTGCTCCTTCCTGCCTTCATGGGCAAGGGGAGGGACCACTAAGACCACAGCAAACCACACTCCTGCAGCAGGCCCTTCACCTCACATACCTCATACACGTGCATGACCGTGCTATTCCCCTCCTCATACACTGCATGCACGTACAGTGGGAGCGAGGAGTCCCTAGGTCTTGGGGCCAGATGAGGGCCGTATGGGGGCCTCATGCAGCCCTGACCTTGGGCTTGGTGCCCAGGCAGGGAAAGAGTTGGAGCGATGCCAACAGCAAGCGGTCGAGGTGACGGAAATCATGCTCAACAACTTCGACAAGGTCCTGGAGCGCGATGGGAAGCTGGCAGATCTGGAGCAGCGTTCAGACCAACTCCTGGACATGGTGTGAGGCCTGGGGAGGCAGAAAGGGGAGCTCTTAGACTTTGTACAGGGCCACCAGACCCTTGGTGGGGGGGGTGTCTCTGGGTTTCCTGCATCTAATGGGTTGATCTCAGGAAGTAAAAAGTCTTTAGCTTAAAGCTGTGTGCCTTCCTAAAGGTCGAGGACTGGCACTGTTACCTGGAGGTGAGCCCATAGGGCTGCAGGTCAAGGGCTACACCAGTGTCTGAGGGCAGGAGTCAGGCTGGGAGGGCCTGGGCAGGCTGTGTGGAGGAAGGGAGAAGACAGGATGGGGACGCTGCAGGAGACTAGGCCTTGCCGGCGTAGGGGGTAGGCTTAGGAGGAGCTGGCTCTGAGTTTCTGGGGGAACCGCTAACTCCCACCCTGTGTCTGGGGTCTCCACAGAGCTCCGCCTTCAGCAAGACGACCAAGACCCTGGCCCAGAAGAAGCGCTGCGAGAATGTCCGTTGCCGAATTTACCTGGGGTTGGCGGTGGGCGGCAGCTTGCTCATCATCCTGATTGTGCTGCTGGCCATCCTTCTCCCCCAGAATAGTGAAGGCAGTAGTGCCCCCGAGGCCCAGGGTGCAGGCACAGCCTCAGGGCCTGGGGATTGAGCCGGCTGGGCCTTTGGGAGAAGCTGAACAGCCACACGGCCGGTTCCGGTCCCCAGAGAACCCTGATGTTCATTCCCATCTGAGCCATCCTGGTGAGCTTCAAAGGACAGTCCCGATGTGTGCACCTCTGCATCTCCCATCACGCCACAGACTGGCCCTTGAGAGCAGCCTGCTGCACTGGCCGTGCCAGGCCAGCCCCACCTGGAGCTCAGTAAAAGCTGCTGTTTGATTAAAAGCCTGTACGTTTGTGTGTGTCTCTGAAGGTCCCCAGGTTGGTTCATCTCCACCCTGCCCCACGCCTGGGGCTGCTTAGAAATTCCACCACCCCTAGGTCTCCACCCTGGGAGGTGGCTTTTTCCTCTCCCTTTTCTCCTTTGTCCAACACTACGCAGGCAAACCTTTCTGGGGTACAGGTACAAGGACACAATGGCCCCGAACCAGACCCTTGAACCAATCCCCCTCCTCTGTTTCCCTGAGAATGGAATCTGTTTTTTTCTGGCATCTTGGGGATGCTCAGAAGATCAGTAGGACTCCAGATGGGATGACAAAGAGGAAAATACTTCACAGATTTTAACAGCATGAGGCCCTCCCTTACCATCAGTCACTTTTTGCCCTCTGAATACCCTTCCCCCTCCCCAGTTTCTCCACCCATCTTCTTCCTCAAGATTCTACCAAATTACCCATGAGGCTAGTGGCAGTGAAAACAAGGAAGGCTTCTGAGGTCCTGTAATGAAGGGTCACAAAGAGTGGCCTGGAGTTTGCCTTGTAGGAAAGAAGTCAAGATTTTCAAAGCTCCAGGGCTCACACAGGGCCACAAAGGATCACTGGGCACGATGAGCCATGGAAGAAGGCTAGAGGCCCCACTAGGATGGTGGAAATAGGCAATCTCTGCCTGGGCCCCTTAACTTCAGCTCAAACTCAGTGTTGGGTGGGAAGGGGAGTTAAGGGTCAAGTGTGTTACACAAGCAGTTTTTTGCTAGCTAGAATGAGGCTTCTAACTGAGAAACAGTAACAACCTCCAAGGGTTGTATGGAGCTTTACTCCTTGCCGATCTTTGTTACTTTCACTGGGCCCATTACTGTTTCCTTTTATGGGAATGGAGGTCCCAGGGTGATGAAAACAGTTTGTACTCGACTGTTAACCTAAGGGTTAGTGGTTTAAACTGGGGCTTTGAACAGTTTCATTCTGGTTTGAAACCCTGCTGAGAATTTGCAAAGTTATACATAAGAATCACCTGGGGATCTTGTTAAAAGATAGATTCTGATTCAGTATATTTGGATGGAAATTCAAATGTCCATACATAAATAAATGAAGCCCTGGTTTAAACCTACCCAGTGGTGCCGTGGAAGAAAAGATTGACGATCTACTTCTGTAAAGATTATAGCCCAGAAAACCTTATGGAGCAGTTCTACTCCTTAACATAAGGGGCAGAATAATGGCAATGGGTGTTTTTTGTTGGTTTTTTAAAACAAGTTTTGGTTTTTATGGGAAAGATGGAGAAAAGCACTTGGCTCTGTAGCTTCTCAGCATTTCCCTTACCGGCTGTGGGGAATTTGGGCAAGACTTAAACGTTTTGCATATGTAAAAAGGAGATAATGATACTTAGCTCCTAGGACTATTATGAGGATTATTGATACTATGTGTAAAATATCCTTCAATGTAACAGTTCTAAACGCTATCATTCCAAGTCATTTAATGCAGCGGTTCTCAACCCTGCCTCATGTTAGAATCACCTGCAGAACTTGTAAAAATATCAGCACACAGGCTCCACCCTAAATCAGTTAAATCATAATCTTTGAGGGTATGTATCAGACAAGGGTTTTTCCCTAAAGCTCCCTTCTTTCCGCCAGGGATTCATGTGTAGCTGGGATGCAAACCACTTATTTAGTTCAAGCCACTAGGTGTTATTTTTATTTATTTATTGTGTGAAATCTATATAACAAAGCATTTCAGCCATTTTTAGATGTACAATTCAGTGTCATTAGTTACATTAATCATGCTGTGCAACAATCACCACTATCCGTCCAAGTTTGTCATCACCTTTAACAAAAACTCTGTACCTTTTTTTTATTTTTTAATTGTACTTCAGGTGCAGGCTTACAGAACAAATAGTTTCTCATGAAACAGTAGTACACATATGGTTTTATGACATTGGTTAACAACCCCACAACATCTCAACCCTCTAACTTCTCAACCTTTTTTTTTGGTTTTGTTTTATTTTAATTTATTTTTTTATTGTACTTCAGGTGAAGGCTTACAGAACAAATAGTTTCTCATGAAACAGTAGTACACATGTTGTTTTATGACATTGGTTAACAACCCTACA